CTGCACATTCTTGTTAGCATTTGGTGTTATCAGTATTTGGGATTTTAGCCATTCTAATAGGCCTGTAGTATATGCATGTATAACTTCTAAAGTTGTTTTCTTGGTGCTAGCTGTAGGGCTTACAATATATACCTTTACAGAATCTATTTTTATTGATAATTACTTATAGTGAAATATAGAAACTTTATTCCTACAAAATCTTACTGTATCTAATGCCTCCTGAATAGTAGTTTTGTTGGGGACCCCTGAGTTGGAGATGTATGCGTAATAGTAAGAGTGAGCTTAGCTGAAGCGATGACAGTTAAGAGCATCAGTTCCCAGAAGTCATACAAGGCCAAGAATAAACATTATTATTCAGGTTGGAATCCTGATAGAAATGATGTGGTCTAGAGGTAGATAAAATATTAACTTGAGAAAGCTATTTGGTTTTCTTTCTTGCTCATATCATAAAATAACTGGCAAATGCCTAAGCTAAAATCTGAGTTCTCTTAGGATATTATATTCCCAGGTTACAAAGTGAGAGATCTTAGTTAAATGGTCTATGGGTTTTTTTAGGTGTAGGTACCTTTCAGAACATAAACTAGTTGTTCACATATCTGATAGCCTGAGCTATAGGTCGTTAAACTAAAAATGTGGGAAGGTGAAAATATCCTACCCTATCTAAAACTTTAAAACCACTCAGTAAGGGGACATGTTATATGACAGAATAAGACAGGCAAAGAAGCATTTAATGATTGACAAAGCTTAATAATTTAATGGAGAAATAATAGTTGTTAAACAGTTTTACAGAGTCAGAACAGTTAAAATTTTTAACTTAAATCTTTAACAGAAAGGAGTCAGTATGACTTCCTAGATATCATGAAGACTTATTGTGGATGAGGATATGGCAGAGGGAAGAGGATTAGAACAAAGAAAATCAAATGCCACCATTTACAGTGTAGACTGCAGGGCATCTGGCCAAAGGGAAGACAGGAACTACATATTCATACTTATGAAGTAAGAATTGTTTTTCATTTAATGACTGAATTCCAACATTTTACATATTTACATCATTCCACCTCTCCTTTCCTTCAAGTTCTTGTTCTTTGCATCTCCACACTGGTACTGAAACTCTCATAAATTATCAAGAGGATTTAGGGAAATTGTAATTGCTCATAAACTGATATTTCAGTTGACATGCATTAGTCTTTAGTGCCCTAGTACTATGTATGTAATCATCAGAAAACCAAACAAACTGTGTAGATGTATGTGTGTATTTAAGACAATGGGAGTGGCAGATAACTGGGTTGTTGTTGTTGTTGTTGTTGCTGCTGCTGCTGTTGTTATATAATAATTTTTATTTTATTCTTTGGGAATTTCATACATTTATGCAATGTAAATACTACCTCTCTCCAGTACCCTTGACCCTGTCTCCTTTGTAGCCTCATGTCCTCATTTTTTATTGTTATTAATAACTGCCTGAATCCAATTAGTGCTACCCATATACACATCACTATGGGGCAACTTAGCAATAGCTGTATCCCCAACGGAGAATGACTATCCCTGCCTCAGCAACTTTCCTCTGCCAAGAGTAGGGACTCAGGGGCCCTTCCCCTATCCATGATGGAATTTTGAGTGGCTAGATCTTGTACAGGTCTTGTGCAGGAAAGCACAGCTGCTGCAAGTTCATGTGTGCAACAGTCATGTCATGTCCAGAAGTCAGCATTTTACAGTTCTCCTCCCAATTCACTGGCTCTTACATTCTTTCTTCCCCCTTCTTCTGCAATGTTTCCTGGGATTTGGATGGAGAGAGGTTGCTATAGTGACTCATACACAGCCGAGTACTTGCAGTTACTTATAATCAGGAATTTGACCAGTTGTGAGTCTCTATATTAGCTACTGCCCATTGAAAAAAGCTTTTCTGGCCAAATTTGAGAGCAACACATATATATAAGCATAAATATTTAGAAAGTAGTTTGACAGTATGACAATTTAGCAAAGCAAAAACAGTAGGTTCCCTTCCCCCCAGGTTCTATGATATCTCCAGTCATGGGATTTTATCCATATTTACAATGCCAGACGTAAATTCCTTCCTGTGAAGCAGACCTTAAATCTAATCAGAAAGTGGTTGGTTACTTCCATAACCTTCATGCCACTATTTCACCAGTAGGCCCATATTGTCAGTCAGGTCAGTATTATAACATGCAGGATCCAGTGATGAGTGAGAATACTGATGCCTTTTCTCTCCCAGCTGCCTGCATAGCACCTTCTAGTGATGTGTAAGCTAGCCAGAAGTGGGAGTTTCCTCATCAGTTGAGGTTGATTTCCCTATGTCCTACATTCAAAGTGAGTAATGTTTTCAACAATAAGATCTTACCATCTATTTATGGTGGGAAATCAAGAACAATGGCAAGAGCCTGCATTGTTTAGACTGCCTTGAGTGTCTCCTGATTAATAACTCATAGTGTGGTATCCTGTGCCTGGTACTGAGATTTTCATTTAATAACATTTGTCACTGGGAGGACTACTGTCCACCAATGTAGGGTACTTATGTTCAAACTCCATTTTTATAGATTTTTTTGTCTTTTTGAGACGGGATCTCTCTATAGCCCAAGTTGGCCTGGAACTGTCTATGTAGACCATACTGGCCTCGAACACACAGAGATCTACCTGCTTCTGCCTCCACACCCAGCTTATAGATTGTTTTTTAATTAGCATACAAACTAGTGGCTTTCCATAAGGCTTCTTCATACATCCTTAATTTTGCCTAACCCACTCTCTTGTTTCACCAATCCTACCATCCCCATTTAAATTTTAAACTCTGAGAACTTCCTCTCCTCCTTTTACTGGTGTTCTACTGTCCTCTATAATTGAATTTTTCTTGGGTTAGAAGATTGTAAATTTTCAACTTAAGCTTTTTAATGTAGCTTTCATTTTAGTTTAGTTTTCCACTACACCATTTCCCCAACCACCATCCCCCTTAATGCTTGAATGTTTCCACTCCCAGTATTCCCTCTTTCTACTCTCAATATTCCCATATTTTACTGTCTTCCCTCCCTTAATGCATCTGCTCCCAATGGCCCATTTCTAGTTTCTTGGATAATTTTTTTGCAGTTTTATAACTTTATTTGACTCTAAGCAGGTATTTACCATCCACATTGACTATAGATTTTTAAATGTGGTAACAGGGATATAGGTCACCAAAGTATTAGAGCTTGTTTGGTGAATTCTCATTTTCAGTACATTGTTTTTCTGAACACAGATATGATATGGAACATTCTCTATTCCTTTGTCCCAGACGGCTTTGTTGAGCCTGATATCAGTGTTCACATTTGGAGTCCCCATCTCCTACACAGTGAATTTCCAGATTTCTTTGAGTGCCTGAGATATGCACTTCTTGGATGCATTTGTGATTGTTGATGGTGTATTCCTGTGTCATCACTTCATTGATGGCAACATGACCCTTCTTCTCACCACCCTTTCTTTTTGGGAGCCATTCTGCCAACCCTCCCTTTATTAGCATTCCAAGTTTGCATACATAAGTAGTGGCTTTCATTGTGATATTTTCCTACATATATGTCATTGTCCTTTGTTTTTATTCATTCCTTTCCCCATTTTTTTCCTATTAAATAATCCATTGTAATACTGGGGACTGAAGCTAAGGACTTGTGCCTGAAAGAAATCCCAAGCCTCAAATAATTAGATTACTGTTTCAAATTCAAATGTTTGTTAGAATCAAGTACTCTATCTGATGGTGGTAGCTGCTGCATTGTTCCAACAGATGGTTTCAATTCGAGAATATAAGCCTACTTTTACTAGGTATTTTGATTTAAAAAAAAAAAAACATACAGAAGGTTGGAAAGACATCTCATCAGTTAAGAACACTGGCTGCTCTTGTAGAGGACCTTAGTTTGAATTCAAGCACTTACATGGCAGCTTCCAAATGTCAGTAACTCCAGTTCCAGGGGATCCAATGCTCTCTTCTGACTTCTGCAGGCATTGCATGACACAGGTGTACTTACCTACATGCAGGCAATATATTCACACACATAATACAAATAAAATATTTTTAAAATATATAAAATATCTTTATTTTTCTGGAAACTCCTGCCTTTTATATATTATCAACTAATTAAAACATTTGAAATACACTAGGTAGACCAAGAAAACACTTTTTAAGTCAATTCTAATTTAGAAGATAGAGAGTTCATGGTAGAGCTCTGATTTGACAAAGTAAACTCTCTGGCTCTTTGTCCAATAACAGTAAGTTTGATTCCAGATTAGTGTAGCTAAGAACTTATGGAAATCTTATGTATTGGTTTGTTATCTACAACATAACTAAGAACATCTTCAGTGGTGAAAATGGTAAGCAAATGCTGTGTCTGGATAAGATCATTCTGTCGTACAATAATTGGAAATCAGTAGTCAGACTATGTGCTAATTAAAGTGATCAGAAGGTCATTGTTTTTGAAGTCCTTTTTATGCTTGCTCCCTCACCAGATCATGAATACCCTGAAGGCCTTGGTAAGGAATATATATTTGGTTCTGAAAATATTGGGAACCTGTTAGAGGCTTTTAAACAGGGAAGGAACATAATCCAACTTAATATTCTAAACAAGAATATTCTAAAAAAAGTTCTATCTAGAGCTACAATCTTAATACTTTAGAAAAATCTTCCTTTACTGAATTTAGCCTTTTCTACAACATTTACACTTTCTCAGGAATGTCATTTTTACATGTATGCATGAATATTTCTCTCTCTATTCCTACCACAAAGGGAGATGTTTTTCACTGCTTTTGTTTGACCAGTGAAGAAACTTGAAGCATATGTTATTCTGAGTGTTTTATAGAAAGAGAATCAATGTTTTTTTCTGATAGAACTAATTTCCTTGTGTTCTTGCCTGACCTGCAGGCTATTTATCAGATATATGACAGAGATAGAATTTTCCCATCTGAGAGAACAAATAATATGACATCACAAATTCATCTAACTAACCAACTGCTATGTTTCTGTGTTTCAGAAAATACTGAAGGAAGGACCTCTGCTAAAGAACTGTACCTCCTTTAAAAGATGGAAGCTTAGATATTGTCTAGTTCAAGGACAGAAGCTCCACTTTGCACACCATCCTTCGGTAACTGTAGAATCCTTTCAACTGAATTAGTTGGCAGGTGCCAAGAAATGCATGGGTTCAAAGATGGCCAGTGTTATGGTGGAAGTTGAAACCATGTATTCTTCCTGTAATTTGTCCTCTTGTGCCAACGGGTAGCACTATTTTTCCTTTCCTCTTCCTATTTCTATTTGTTTTCACAGATTCACTGGTTAGTTTCTGCACCTAGAGACAACTATATAATTTGTGGGAACTTATGTAAATTGAAAATGCAGGACCCTTTATTCAAAAAACAGGATGATCATGCCATTAATGGCTTTAAATACAGTAATTTATATTTGTATTAAAATATAAAACAATGGCTTATGTTGTTTTATTTTATATTTAATGTCACTCTAAAAAGAAAACAAAATTTTTAAATAATTAGTATGAGCTTGACCATTTTTGTACATTGTACCACCCCAGTTTTAAATGAAAGTATGGAAGCATTTAACTTATAGGAAGAATCAACAAAATTATATAATTTGTATTAGTAGCTCAAGTATGCATATGGATTTTGTTTTTACAAGTACACAAAACTAGCTAAGTTTTTTTTCACTTTTTGATATTTTTCACATTCTACCAATACTTTCTACCTAAATGGAAAAGGGATTGTGGCTTGTCCCATTTCTCCCTTTCCTTCAGTGCCATCATTTTCAGCACATATGGTTAGATAATATCGGGCAGAAACATGGATAAGAAAGAATAGCTCCTTGGTCGTTTGTTTCCTAAAAGACACTGCTTTCTTTCTATTGTTCTGACTCCAACATAATGTGTGGCCTCTCCAAGCTGTCAGCATCCCTGCTTACTCAATCATAGACATAACATATTTACTTTGTACTTGCATTTTCAGCATGATGGGATCCATTGGAATTCTATACTCATAGATGTCACAAATATAATTAGTGTGATAAGACATGGGGTGGATATGCATAATGTGCATGCCTCCTACTCTCATATAGGCTTTCATATACAGTTCATGGTCTTATTGTACTTTATTTACAAAACACTAGCCCCAAGATAAAATTATCAGAATTTGAAGATGACAATAACAGAACATTAAACCAAGTATTGATCCATTCTAACCATGGAGTCCTATATTCAGGTTACATATTGGTGAACCAGCCCTGTCTATATTAGTATTACTGATTTCTTCCTACAGGCTGGGTAGCATCTACCATGTCAGTTGTACAAGGGTTTTATATAGGCCTCAATCTGAATGTAACCAGAAACATAGTCAAAGGCTGCTACCCAGTAAATTAAGAGTTAATAATAATTTATACTACAAGTTCCCTAGGTAGACTACATCTCATTATCTTATCTAGCACTAACATTTTTATTTGGATAAGTCTGAACTAACCATCTCAAGTGTTACTACAAATCCACAGAAGTTTTAGAAAAGCTGTATTTTCTTTTAGTTTGGTTTGTTTTATATTTATCACATGATATATCTACAAAAATCATGTTACTAAATAAACCCATCTCTCAAGACAAATAAATTGGATCATGGCTGCCAAAAATGTCTGTCAATGAGTGTGTGTGTGCACATGTGCATCTTTTAATGTCTATTTGCCTCCATAATCAGATGGCTTCTTATCATTTTCCCTCATTTCTTTCCAGTTTGCACAGTTTGAAACAATTGATCTGTCTCAAGTCGCCTTGGCAGAAAGCAGCTGTAGAAATCTTTGCCATGGTTTTTGTGTAAGTAAGATTATGAATGACTAAATGAGCAAGGGTAGGGCTAGCTGAGAACAGAGGTTGTTATATCCACTTGTTCTGTTTTGGGACATCAGGTATAACAAGTCTTCTTTGAAAAGTGTTATTGTATAAACAAAGCTCTACCAGTCCACTGTTAGAGAGGACAATGAGTGATAGTCTTGCTCCCTCTCAGCACCCTGCTATAAAGCCAAGATGATTTCTCAGTCATCCTTCTTGGTAAAGGTGAGTTACAAGAATATCATTGGAAGGGTTTCTGAGGAACTAATATGTCATAGAAAAATCAGAATAATCATATTACATGACATCATTTCCTTTGATGAGATAAGTGAAATCTAGCCCACGCTGAGATTATTGATGAGAATATATGCAAGAAAGCGTAGAATTTTGGGGCCAGAAAACTCACTGGAAAGTATTAGTCCATTATCCCCAAAGAACTCCTTCCCACCTCCTCGAAGAATTCTTTTCCCAGCCTCAACAATGGCTCATAGACACTGGGGTTTCTAAGAGTGGCAGTAGTCATGATCCCAACCAGCTCCTATCTACCACAAAAATCATGCTCTGTTACATACCAAAGGAGACCTCAATTATTTGCCAGTGTGGTGAGCACTAGCTTCAATTTGAGGCATTAATCATAGAATTAAGTAGGGCCATTGAAGCAATCACTGTTACAATAACTGTTTAACCTCTCTCTTAATATGCTGGGAAAGTCAAAGTTCTGTTCATGGTCTACATTGTTAAGATCATCAGCACTGAGCCAGAGGGATTGCTCTATGGGTAAAAGTGCTTGTCATAGAAGCCTGATTACCTGAGTTCGATCCCTGGATCCCACAGTGGAAGGAGAGAACCAAATACCAAAAACTGGCCAATGCACATGCATCATGGCACATGTGTGCCTGCACTCACACATCATATACATAAATGTACACACAACAGAGAACAAAAGACCACAGAGCACTTGCCCATGAATAGGGCACCTCTACCTCCCAAGGCTCAGGGATCATTGCAGAAGTGAAGGCAGAAAGATTGCAAGAGCCAGAGGACTGACTGACTACAAGGAAATGATCTTCCAGAGAGCTGGTCAGCTGCTCATATAAACTCTCAGCAATTGTGAAAGCACATTCAAAGTCTCATGCAAGCTCAAACCAGACAAAATGCCAGTATAGACCCGGGGAAGTGTATTAGAAATCCCAACCCAATCTAAGGAACTTTTGGCAATTGATGGCTGCTGAGAGAGGGAAAGACAGTCTATAAGGGATGAGACTTTTGGTGGGCCCCATGGATGTACCCACACTGAAGGACATTTAGCTGAAGAACATTTAGGGACAGAAATCAGACTCTATATGCCATATGATATATATATATTTATATCCATCAAATTGGGTGGAGGCAGTAGGGGGAGGGGCAAATAGGGGAGGGCATTTAAATGCCATCAAACTACATTTTATGAAAATCACAAAAACTCAGTTAAAAGACAAGTAAATATGCACGCAACAATATATACACAAAAATAAATAAATAAATAAGATCTTCACCTGTTTTTTTTTTACTATTCCTTGATGGGTTCTTGCATTATGTCTCAAGATTAAGAGGTAGTGCTGTAAATTCTCTTCAGGTTGTCTCTTCTCATCAGAAAGAAAGGGGACCTTTTCTGACATCTTACTTTCCCTACAAACAGAAAGAGACGCACCCTGATGAAACAAATACACTTTCATTACTTCACACAGAGTACTCGTAAGCAAGTAGAGTTTTCAGGCAATCTCATTTTAGAAATAGGTAACACATAACTTAATGTTTAAGAGCATGAATTAAAGAGCTAAAGAATCTTGTTTAGCTTTTCTCCTGCTGGGTGACCCCAAGCAAGTCATTTAACTCTCCTTGACTTTGTTTTCCTGATTATGAAATGGGAAAATAACAGTGCACATCTCATGGGATTATGATGAAGACTGATTGAAATAATATGCTTCAAGTACATTAGAATAGTTTCTGGAACACATCAAATGGCATTAAAGTCATTGCTATTATTATTTATTATTATTATTACTATTATTATTACCTATCCAAGCAACTGAGGGTGGCCCTGGAAAATTACCTCATATATTCAAGAAGTTCCTTAGATGGTGAATGGTAAATATGTCTAGTTCTTCAGTTTACAGACTCCAGGGCGATCTTTCTTGATGAGAACCAGCTAATAATGTGATGTTTTGTTTAGGTTATCACACCACAACGAAAAGTCTCCCTGGCTGCGTCCAACCGGAAAGACATGGAAGAATGGATTAACATAATAAAAACTGTCCAACAGGGAGAAATTCGTAAGGTAAGACAAAGAGTAGAGAATGCACACAACTATCATGGTAAAATATATAATGACAACATTAGGGAGGTCACTCTTCAAACAAGGAAATAATAAAATGGGAACAGAGACTATCCAGTCAGGAATTATATTTAGATATCATTAAGAAGCCTGTTTAGAACTACTCATGAATATGAATAAGTCACTTAGATTTAGACCCTAGTGACCATGTGGCTTACATTCTTCTTTATACATTCAATTGATATGTAGATACCATGGTATAGCCAATGAATGAGATACTCAGGATGTATATGAACAGCTACCTTAGATATTCCTATGTTAAGAAAGTTACAACCAACAACTTAGATTTGAGTCTGTGCAATATCAACAGTAACAGTTAAGAACACTGAAGCTAAGAAGGAGGAAGGAACCAGATTGAGGAGAAATAAGTACTTGCAGGAAAAACAGGATTTATACCTAGGCAATGTGACTCCAAAGTCTACTTCTTTGTTTTCAGTTCACCACAAAAATGAATGTAGAAGGAAGAACAAGAAACAGTCTTCCCCATTTATCAAGGCTCTTTTTCTCCTTGGCAACAATAAATCTCTTCACTGTCTCTAAAACATGTGGTGCCACTCAGACTCTGGACTCTGGCCTTGACTTGTTCTGTAGATCTACTATAGTTTTGTTATAAAAGTTCCAAGATGGAAGGAATTGAGTCATTTATTTACTTTAGAACAATGTTCTTCCATAGTGAGGCTAAATAAACATTTTTTGAACAAATAAGTGAATCTAGGAAATCGTGGAGCCAGAGTTCATCTTAAAGTAAAATTATTCTTTGAAAGTCTTGGAGATAAAGGGACAAAATGAATTTTAAAGATCTTAATGTGACACCATATAACAAATGTATTTCAAATCTAAAAAGGAACATATAAAAAGTTCTTGATGTCTTAAATAACCAACAAAGAGCAGAGGATTGTTCTAGAAATTAGGGGTTGAGCAAATGTGCAATGTAGGTCAAAATTAATGGCGCTGAGAAATTTTAAAATGTCTTTGAGAAGAGCTGTCTTTGTTCATACCCCTAGGACTTCTCCTGATTCTGCAGGTTGTGATTATGATTGGAGTAGCATGACAAGATGACCGAACTAGAGCTTACAACATACCATTAGAGCCTCTCAGAGGCCCACAATGTATAATGTTTGAGAAATCCTTTGCTTAGCATCTGATGATAGTCTTTCACTTGACTTAGCATTTAACATTTCATTTCTTTGTTCTTGTCTTCTTTTCCTGATGGAGAACCCTATCTCCTCCACTATAGCACAGCATTATAGGCAGCAACAGAGCTGTTCATTCTACACTGTCTCCTATCCTCATCCCTGTGGATCAACACCTTTCTTTACTTTGGCTAATTTCTATTCAAACTGGAATGCTTCCTACATAGCACATAATATTGTCAGTTTCATAAAAGGTCACATAGGATGCTTTGAATTTTAATTACTAGTCTAAGAATACAAAACTACCAGAGAAAACCATCTACAAATTCATGTGCCATTCTTGACTCCATCGAATTAGGCATCTGTGTATTGACTACCCAGCACAAACTAGGAAGGAAAAATAATCTGCCTGTTTGCTGCTTTGGAAAATTTTAGGCCATAATCGAAATCTCTGTGGAGTTTCTTTGGGGACCTAAATACTTTCAGCTGCTAGACAAATATCTCAGCACCATTACCTTAGCACTTCATCTTGCTGGAAGCTTAAACAATCAAACACATTCCCTTCTATATGCACCTTATCATTAACAATCTTTTCTACTATCTGTCACTGCCAGTGCCTAACATATGTGGTAGGGAAGATTAATCATGGATATAGTGGTTCATTAAAGTAGTGACAAAGTAATTGGACTGTCTATTGGAAATTATTCAGTCCATACACTACTAGGTAAGCCTGGGATTATGGTATGTGACTATAACCCTAGCACTGGGTCTTGTTGGCCAGCCAGTGTACCTAAAATGGCAAGGTCTAGGTTGAGTAAGAGATTCTGTTTCCCAAAATGATAGATGAAGATATCTGATGGATGGACTCCTCCATATGCTTGCACACAGGCAAGTGCACCTTCATACACGACTGTGCACACGCACACATACACACACGCACACACACACACACGAACCACAAAATATACAATGGACTAGATGGCTTAGACAAGGAAAAAACTAGGGGCTAGAAGTTTGGAGAGGAGATTATATATGACTTCAGACAAAGCAAAGTTAAGTACCAGAATAACGATAAAAAGCGAGAACAAATAGTAAATACTGATTAGTAGATATTGGTATATAAAAGAAGCTAAATAAAAGAAAAACACAAAGTGGGTAGTAAATCTTTAAAATACCATTTGAGAGGTCCTTTATTTCATCTCCAGCACTGGAGAGGTGGAGTGGAAAGGAATAAAAAAGAGTCACAGATGAAAACTCTGAGACTTTAAAAATTTAAAGAAAGAATAGAAAGAAGAAAATGGAAACAAGGAGCTTCACAGATGGCTACACTGTAAGCATATGTCTAATTAACTGTCATAGAACCATTACCATCTACAGGGACAAAAATTGACCTTAAAAGTCAACTAAACTCCTAATTCTAGAGAAATCATCTCTGGAGGTCAGGAATTATGGCATTTGAACTCTTCCAAAGACAAAAAAGTAAGGTTCTTGCAAAAGAGCCCTAAATCTTAGAATGCTTTGTTCTTATACTTTGGCCTATAGAAGAAAGAATTTTCTAACATTCGTTGTGAACTACAGCAATGGCATCAGTTGCCTCTGGAGGCACAAAACTCCCCGTCATTGGGAGTATTACAAGAAAACTGAATATGCACCAGTTAGAATGTTGTAGAGAAAATTTATTTTTCATACATTTTTTTAAGTACTGGGGATTGGACCTAGGACCTCACTTATGCTATAGAAGTGCCTTACTATTGAGCTTTACCTTTCATTCCTTTCAAAAAGATTTAAATTTTTTCTTTGTTTTTATGTATATTGAGTGTTTTGCCTTCATGATATGTAAGTGCACCTGTGTCATACAGTGCCCACGGAGGCCAGAATAGGGTGTCAAATCCCCCAGAACTGGAATCACAGATGACTGTTAGGCACCACGTGGGTGCTGAGAAACGAACCCAGGTCCTGTGCAAAAGCAACCAGTGCTCTTCACCGCTGAACCATCTCTCTGGCTCTCAAAAAGATTTTTCTTTTGAGGCAGGATCTTACCAAATTGTTCAAGCTAGCCTTGGATTCACTGTGTAGCCCAGACAGGCCTTGAACTTGTGGTCTGCCTGCTTCCAAAGGAGCTGACAATAGAGCCCTATGCCACCAATCTCAACCAAAATTAATTTTTCATACAGGAAAGCTAGATGAATTCCACCATTATATGGTAGTAATGTTTTTAACTTTTTGAGGAATGTCTATACTTTTTTTCCATACTGATTAACATTTTAATAAATATGTTATAAAACTCATTTTGTTCTATATAACTTTCCAACACTTTGTATTCGTCTTTTTTGAAGATAGTATTCTAACAGGAGTAAGAAAATATCTCATCATGGTTTTGATTTGCATTTAATCATTAGTGATGCTGGGCATTTTCTTTTGGCCATCTGTATGTCTTCACAGAAATGTCCATTCAGGTGAGGGACTTTGATCATTTTTTACTGAAGTTGTTTACTTAGTTTTGAATTGAGTTTCTTACATATTTTTGACAGTATCTCTTCATCAGATTTGCAAATATTCTCTCCCATTTTGTAGGTTCTCATTTTACTTTATTTTGCTATGATGAAGCTTTAGTTTAATGTCATCCCATTTGTCTGTTTTTAGTTTGATTACCTGTGCTTTCAAAGTCATATAAAGAAAAATATTGCTTTGCCCAGACCAATGTCATAGAACTCATCTATTTTTTAGTAGTTTTACAATTTGGGGTATTTTATTTAAATCTTGTATCATTTTAGTTTTTTTTTTAATTTTTAAAAATGATTTATTTAATAACAACATACTTAGAAGAAGCATATCATTACAACACAATTGACATACGGTTTCCTGAGGTAGGATGCATCTCTTTCAAAATTGGCTGTAAATTTTTAGGTTTACAGTTGAATTATTACGAGAACCTTGAGAGTGAGTAGGAAGGATGGACTGGCAGGTTGGCAAGCTGGCAGGCTAGTAGGTGAGGTGACTAAGCAGTCAGATATTCCTGATCAGGGCCAGTTTGGGGGGAAGAGATGACCTGCTCCTGCTGTGAGAACCCTGGGTTTCATCCACTTCTCTACCAAGATATTTACCAAACTCTTAAACAAAAGACTAGCAACTCCTCAAAGACCAATTCTGCCCTCTGTGATTTTGTAAAGTTCATCCCACCTTGCATGTCCTTTGTCCTGCAGAGTTTGGATCTGGCCTGAAGTGTCTTAGCTGTCTTTCTCAATTCTGACAGTCTCATAACTGTGCTGTCAGCATTAATCTTTGTTCAAGTTCAGACCTGGACTGATCTTCCTCCTTACTGTCTGAAACTCTCCTCAACCCACAACTCCCCTTGGGACAGGCCTTTGTAGAGCCAGGAGTAGGCTGCTGCTGCAAGGCGGCTGGGTGGAGCCTGTCTTCAGCAGCTTGGAACTAGAATGTGTCCTCTGCTCCCAGGGGCTCTGTGTTTAAAAACAGCACAGGCAACCCTCCCTGTGCTGGTGACACACAGACTCATGAGGGTGAATAATCATTTTGATAGTCATTTTGGGGGTAAGCAACAGAACAGTGAATAAAAACTCATCTCCAACTAAAAATA